GAACCCCTTTCTTTGCCTTCCTTCAGAACGCCCTCGCTTGCTTTGCCTTAATTAAAAGTCAGTGAATAAATTGTTAGACAGTATTTAAACAAAAAGTGTCTGAAGGCATAATTTCCTTAAAGATTTATGCTTATGCGTTGTGATTAATGTATTAATATTTTGTAATTTCCATCTACAAAGTTTATCAAAGGAAGTAGATCCTCAGTCTCAACACTATGGAAAAGACTTCCCCAAATATAAAGCTTAACTTTTTTCATAGTTTCTATAAATCTATCATTCTAATTATTTAACAAAAAAGTCGTTATCCTTTTGCAAACTATAACTGCGAAATTAGGCAAAAGACAACTGTAGTTTTCATAAAAATCTCCATCTCGAATTCCAGGGGTGGCTTAACTTTTTTCCACTTTAGGACAAAAACATTTTACGGATCACGGATCATCACTTTGCTATAAACTTCAACTACTGTGAGTTTTTACTAGTCCATTTAGTTTATTGCATTAAGGCCAATCAAGGTAATTTTTTGAATTTACGGTGCAATCGCACCGTACACCTGGAGGCGGCGCTGTTATTTTGCTGAGTCAAGCTGAGTTCGTAAATTCACAAAGTTCTTATCAGTGAGTGAATTGAGCACCGCGGTCTGAAAGTCTTGAAATTCAGTCTCTAATTCATTATATACACTATTTATATAGTCTTTTAGATTTGTAAACATTATACGGTTGGGTGCAGCCAGATAAATATAAAATGAACGAAAGGAACTAGAAGGTGAAATGAGCACAGCGCCATCTATCGAGCAAATACAAATTCAAAAGTAAATACCATAGTTAAACTCTGAAAATACTGAATTTTTTTTACGAAAGGTGGGGGAGGGGGAAATAGACTTGAATTAATATATAACTAAATTTCTCTTCCTCGCCCCCTTCCGTAGAAAAGGGCCTTTTCGTTGACGTCTTCAAATTCGACCAATCGAATACTATACTAAATCTATGACATATATTTCTTTCGGCCTAATTTAAAATTTTGCATGGACTATTCAATAGCTTTCATATCATTACATGAAAAATCGTACAGATATGCGCGATAAATAATTTTATTGGTTAAGCCACCAATTTAATAATGAGTACTGTTTTATTCAATAGATAACCATTAACGCCAAAGTGAACAATTTTTATTTTGTTATTATTTCTTTATTCTTTTCGAAACTTTTTAATTCTGATCGATAGTACGTCAGCAAGAAAATTAATCCTCAAATACTAATCGATTACTAAATGTAATTACACATGTAAAATTTAGCGCAAAACAAACTCGATCCCTCTACTTTGAGGATAAAAATTACCTGTAATCGTAACACTTTATGTATTCAAAACAATGTGTGGTTTTTATCCTTTTGGAAGTGGGAAAGAGAGAGAGAAAGAAAAAGAAGAAAAAGAAAGAAAACAAAAAAAGTGGTTGCTCAATTTAATTATAAAGCGTAACATAATAATTTGGTAACCGGGTTTCAAATCAACCCAGAAACAAAGTTCAAAGCTTGTAATTCTGTTGCATAAAATGCATTAAATTTTGTTTCTTAGTACTATCAAATCTAATTCGATGTAAATAAATAAATAAAATTTTCAGTCTTAAAATTTCAGATTACAACCTGACACCTTTAAAAGTTATATCGTAAGATTAAACAAAAATTTCAAGCTGATCTTGATATGCAAATTTAAGTTTTACACCTGAAACAGTTTTAAATTAAGCACTTACGTTACAGCTAGAAGTTTAAAAATTTTAGAAAACAAAATCTGATATTTAAAATGAGCTATTCGGAATGGCAAAGTCAAGTGGTAAAGGAATTTAAAAAATTATTGTAATATATTTCATCACAAATTAAGATCACATAAAATCTGTGCGCATGAATTAAATAAAAGACTTAATTAGTACATTTATTTGCGAGATGTCTTGTGCACCAAGTTTTCAATAAATATTTCCCTCAAATGCTAATTCTTTTTTCTTTGCAAGAAGAATACATCCGCAAACTAAAAACAACAAACACAAGTGTTTCCTTGGAGATATTAAGGAAATTAATAAACTTTCAATTTATAGCATGTGTAATTTTCGTGCAGTTAGACAGACATCTCGAAGAGGAGTTTGCCATTAAAAAAATTTGAAGGAATAGAGAAAATTAGAAAACAAATATTTGCTTTTTTTATATAAAAATATCTTTTTTGCTAGCTCATGAAACTAAATCTTTTCTATTGCTGAACTTAAGAGAGACAGACAGAGAGAGAGAGGAAGAAGAAATTAACAAATGGAATTTTAATTTTATAAGCTTCATTTGTATATTCATTTCTTTCTTGAATGCTAATTGGTATAAACAGAAAAATATCAAAATATTAGAAACGTGCGTTAGTTTTAGAAAATTAAAACAAAAATATCAAAGGCTTGTCGTCCATATATTGCTAAAAAATGTCCTCATAACCAACAGATTTTATTCGAAATTCAAATAACAGAAGGGCACTGAGCTTCTAACAATTGAAAAGAGTCAAAATGACAGTCTTCGATTTGTTTTTGTATTTGGGGTATGAAAATGCAATTATTAAAGCCATTATAATTTTATTATCTCCAAATCACGCTACTTTTCATTTATAGACACTGTTATTATGTTCTTCCTTAATGAGGGAAAAAAACTGGCACGTGTAGCTAGGAGTGGTTTAGAGTTCATAGATATTTGAGATATTTCAATTTGTTTAAATTCTGGAAATATTTAACACAAATATATCGTACATTTTTTAAACATTTTGATGCAGCAAAATATTTCATTATAATATAGATATTACTTTTAAATACTTATCATAGTAGCTGTTTCTCTTATTTACCGGAGTGCACCTTGATTTCTGTTACAGAAAGGCATTTCTTAATTTCAACAAATAAAAGTTTCTTTAGGTTCTCTCAAGTTGCTTTTTATAGTGCATTGATTGTCTAGTCTACTGATTTTTTGCAGAAAACTTTGTTGGAATATGTTAAAAGATTGTACACAAGTCTACGTTTTTTTTTTTATATTCTATGAAAGTTAATCGTTGATGTTGACGTATGACTGCGGTGACTTTTGTTTTGGTGAAGTTCAACTTATTTTATGATGTATGGATAAAAAAGTAGAATTCTTCTCCCCTTTGTAGTTAGAAATTTTGCAATCGAATAATTGTGCAGAGTTATTTTTAAATATCTGGTAAAAATGCAGAGGTAAGGTAAGGAGATAGAAATTAGATTTTTGTAATGGAATGTAGATGCGGAAATGGACGCTGGACGCGGAATGGGAGAGGACGTTAAAGAGATCGCCAGATGAAAGCCGTCCGTTTGAATAAATAGTCATTCAGCGTGTGGTAATTAATGTTTGGACTGCCATGGTACACAACTATTTAGTAAGATCATATGTTCTGCCTAGTTGCTTGAATGGCCCTACCTGTGATTCAACAAGTTATCCTGCCAGAATATCTTTTCGGTGTTCTTCAGCTATTCGCAGGCAAATGTGGTTCTGACACAGTGGGACGCCAGCTCACTTCAGCAGTAGCGTCAGAAATTAACACGCCGTTTCTTCGACCTCCACTGGATCGAACGGTAGAAGTGCCGCATGACCACCACGATCACCATATTAGACGAGAATTAATTTCTTCTTGAAAGAAGACACATTAACAATATGTTATATGAAAGTTCCAGTGCGTCCACGTGAAGATGAGATTATTAGTTGCTGCTGGAAATGAAATACTTGCCAATGTACGCCAGTACGGCCAGTGCGAATCTCATATTAATGCTGGTAATCGCCCTTTTGAACCTCTATTATAAAAATTTAAATCAATAAAATGATTGCCTCTTTTAACTTATCTGTTTTCCTTATTTGCCTGTTGTTTATAGCTTCCTTTCATTCCGACACACGCGACTTCATTACAAAATCTACTAATTTCGATCTTTTGAGTCTGCCAAGATTTTGCCAGATATTTTAGAATCATCTTATCGAAGGTGTTAGAAAAGTAGTTTGTTTGCGATTTCCCACAGCATAAAATAAAATTTTTTGCAATAATTAAGAAGTCTATGTAAAGCAAGTTTTAAACGATTAACTTAATTCGAATTGAGCAGCACATTTTTTATAATATTGTTACGGATTTTGTACTTAGTTAGCTATTTTTGGTAGAATTGTAATTAACATTGTTTTATTCACCTCGTGTAATACAGCACGTGACGAATTTTAAGAGAAAGCTACGACGAGAAAAAAGTAAAAATACGGGAGCACGCGTATTTAATAAAAAAATATCTCTTAATTTATATTGAAATTGAATTAATGCAATTGTGTGTTAGCTGTGACTGCAATTCTACTCTTTTGCTTTCCAAAAACCCCGAGAAACTTCTCGAGACTGATTAAAAAGCTTATAAAAGCATCTCAGAAACATCTCAATTTAGTTGTTTATTAAATTATTGTTTTAATTAGCTACTGTAATTATGAGATCGGATTAGCTTTCTCTGAGCTTTGAATTATGTTCCATTTAACATTTAATAGTTTAAAATAAAACTACTTTGTGATATTGTACGAATATCTGTGGAGAAAAATTTCAGCATTTTGTTTTTTATCTTGTCATAAGAATAAATTTTTATTAACTCTTCATTTAGACTATTACGAACTATTACTCATGCATTCAATCTATTACGAATCCGTACGCACGCAACATTATTGAAGATAACAGAAATATCTTACGCATCGTAGATGGGCAACAGTGTCCATTTATCGTGAATACTATTTTATAGCAAACTGAAAGCACCACATATTTTGAAGGCTTCGAAACATTTACAGATTTGTATTAAAGAAAAGTTATACTTTATTTGTGATCCGAAATTTTAAAGTCTTCAAATCGAAAAATAGTGCACAGTAATATGAAAATTTCATATTATTATTCTTCTCGCCCTTTTTTATTTACAAAAACTTCGAATAACTTGTAGAATAACTGCATTTTTATTCATGCTTTAAACTCAAGGAGTCTTTTTTTTTTTTATTTTGAATAATTTTAGAAAACTTCATACATATCAATTTATATATTTTATTAACACATCTATAAATTTACGAAAGCTGTTTTTATCAGGTATTATCACTCTAATCATTTCATAATTTAATATTATTCATATTACTATAAGGAGTCAAAATTCTTATTTTTCATTCCTGCGCTGCTTTGCTGATGATCAGTGCTGATCCGATACCTGAAATGAGAGCACGAGCGAAACGTAATTAATAAAGAAAACTAAACATAATTTCAATGCTACATATTTTTTTAAACAGTAGCTTAAAATATGCTTGCGACTATCTACGTCTTGAAATTACGCATAGAAAAAATTTTAAAATATTATACATCACACAAAGAAATTTAAACAAATAAATATTAAGTCGATGAAACCATAACAATACAACTTTCATTACTTTTACTTCCCTCGCCAAATTTAAAGAAATTTTTCGAAAGGGGAAGATAAAACATGAGGATATTTTGAGCGCAAAAGGATATTTTCTTATAAAAAAAGGATTACAAAGAAAAAAAAAAAAAAAAAAAAAAAAAATCAAAATTCCTATGCACTTTTTCTTGACTTCACATAAAAAGAACATTGGGATCTACAACAGAGTGAAAGATTAACATCGAATTTTAAACAAAATTGATGTTAATCTTTTCAATATCAGGATTCTTCGGATATCTTCTATAAATATTTCATCAAATAGTGCTATATATAGCTATAAGAAATAGAAGATTCGATGAGCTTAGAGAATTAGGTGCTAATGTGAGCACTTGGATCCATAATAAATAAATGGAGGAAACACTCATGGAACCATGCTCAAGCGTATTGTAGTGCCTTTCAACAGTTCAATAAATTATCTAGGACAGCAGTTTCCAAACTGTGAGAGGCAGATAGTCCTCGTACGCTTTACTATCTACAAATAAACCTAACCTAACCCAACCTGTGATACTTTGTAAAGAGAAGTACGGGAAACGTATGAAAATAACTAAATACTGATAAAAAGCACAAAATATTCAGAATGTTTAAATTAGATATTAAATATAAAAGAGAGTAATTGCAAGGATTTTTGGTATGCCCGTACTGATTAAAATAAAAAAAGAAATGTAATTAGCTGTAACTAAGCCCATCTACACCAACCATATTGCTCAGTTCCTTACACAAACAGGATTCCTTACGCATCCCTTTACAAACTTACAGATCGAATTTGAATTTATGTCCGAATTCATTATAAATAAAGCTATATATTATTAATTCCCTTTCAACTAAGTATTTTATAATGGTATAATAATATTATTTCAAAGATGCTTAGGGTTTCAGGCCTGCACCTCATCCATAAGGAATAAATCCATCAATTCTCTCATTTTTAACTTATGTTTTGACGCCGACAGTAAAAGTAATTGCAGTATACAATAATGCTATACTTTGATTTAAAAATATGCATTATCATTGTGTTTACTGATTATTATTTTATTTTTACGCGAAAAAAGTGCTTGGAGACGCGAAATGCTGCGAAATAACCTACAAAAAATTGTTTGGAGCTGCTACTCTGAACCATCTATTACACAACCCATGGCCTGCCAGCAACATTTGGTCCAGGGATCTCACATACGAAAGCAGAAACGAAATTTATTGACAGGTTTTACAAACAAAGTTTACTGGTCACCTCCGCTGTAGTAAAATTTTAAATTTCTAAAACGCATATCATCAAAATTTAATATTTACTTGTTTTCTGAAACTTTAATGCTCTGGTACAACCTTTAAAATACTGAATGCTGCCAAATGAACGGTAATGGATGTCTGATCCAAATTAAAACTTGCTTCGGAAGAAAACTATGCAGTTTTTTACACGTAAATATAAACACAGAATATAAAATATAATACTGCATAATTTTCCAACCATAATGAAAGCTAAAGAATGTAATATTCAAATATTTCTATAAAATGATGTAATAATTTCAAATTAGTTAACCTTACCCAAGAAATTTAAGAGGAAAATTTTAGATTTAAGGATTAGTAGGAATTGTACTTTGCCTGTTGAGAAATGTTTAGCCAAAGTTATATGACGAATTCCTTGAGCTAAAAATCGATATGGATTATTTTTCAAGTTATTTTCAAAGAAAAGAGAGAAGAAAAGAAATATACTCAATTTTGGAAGTTACTGCCTAAAAATATAATATTGTACAAAATTTTGCACAAAAGATTGTTCACATTTTTCATGTCAATATATCTTTATGAGTGACCCAATTTCAAAATGAAGTATCTGAAAAGTTTACATCGAAACTGTTTAATTTATTCTGAATCTGACGTTGCATTAATAGTAATTATAAATTTGATGCAGCAATTATAAATCAAATTTGTCGAAAAAGGTAAAAAAATTTTCACAGTGTTAAAAATTACGTTAAAAGGTTTTTTTTATTTTTATGCTATTAACTTTTGATGTGTTTTGCATTCTGTTACGTCCCACGTAATATAGCAAAAAGTATGCATGCCGCCAGATGTAAGTAAATGCTGAGTATGGAGGATAAACCTAAATAATAAAGCAAGAATGTCAGTGCTTCCTGCTTACCTAGAAAGCGAAATCTTAGAAAAATTCTTTCCTGCCCTAAAATGGGAATCAAATTTTCCCGGTTACGTCTCCAATTAGATATCTACTGTTCGATGGGTAGACGTTACTTACCGTGCTACTTTTACTGCAACATTGTTGCTGCCCAGCTGCTGTGCATCTAGAAAGGATATAATAGTTTCGGTTTGTCTTTTCAACCGATGGAAGATTAGTAAATAGTGTACTTTGAACCGAAATATCTTTAGTTATCTTTATGTATCTAACTTATCTTAATATAATCTTTAAAATATCTTTACGTAACTAAACTATAACATGTGCGATAATTTGGAAGATTGATTCGATTTCCACGGGAAAAGGGAAGAATATATAAAATGCACTAAGAAAAAGTCATTTAATTAATTATGCAAAGCATTTCGTAAATAAGAAAAGCTACTTAACAGATAAAATAAGAAAGCTACTTAACAGTCTGAGTAGTAAAGTTAATAAAAATAGGTTTCTAAGGAATAAGATTGAATTTTTTGCAAGATCAATTTTTACAGAATCATGTTTCAGTTTATTAAAATTTTCATCATTTCGAAAATGCGAAAATTTCGCCCTGTGTAACGTGAATGGGAGCCAGTTTCCTTTAAAAGGTCCTCTACTAAGGCATCCTCCCTTTTAGGCAGATAGTGCTTTGCTATTCTTAACAAAAAAAAAAAAAAAACTGAAAATGCAAGGCACTGATAAGTTTTTAGCATAATTTATAATTCATCGAGATTTTCTCCGACAAACTGGAGAAAACTGGAGAGTCGCAAGCAGCTTTTTGCGTCCTTAAATACAGTTCGCTTCGTAATAAGCAGCAATTTTATTTATGAAATATATAACTAAAATTTAACGGAAATATCTTGGTATGACAATGCTTGTTTATATGGATCACTATCTTATTTTTTAATAACGTTGTCTTGCGTATTCTCATTTCAAAATGCGTATACAGCGAGTTTAATTGTCAACGAAAGACAAAATATTTCGTTTCCGGACTTTGGAACAGACATTAAGTCTGAAACAGACATTAACTATTGAGGCAGAATAAAAGATATATACGTTAGGAATACACTGTTCAATAATATATCTTACTGAATGACATCATGAATGCATATACTAGTTACCAGACTGCAATGGGAGGAACAAACTGTATCTGATAATCGAATTTTTCTACGTTATGAAGTAATCAAATGATTTAGGGTTAGGTGTGGCTCAGTATTTGGGTCACCATGTAGTTCTATGTGAAAAATTAAAAGGTAGATTTTTATGAAAAATCGTGTTAAGCTGACAGCATTTTAAACAAATTTTTCAGTAAATTGAAATTTCTATTTACTGTGTGTTCTCCATATCTTGGTGAAAAAACTTGCCTATAGATTGAGAGTAGAGAAAAGTCTTTGGTGCTGCTTTTCAAAACACAGCAAAATTCTTTACTAGAGTTAAAAGCTATTGTGTTACTCTGAAGATTTTAACATCACTTTTTGAATTCCGTTCACTCTTTCCAAATTCAGTTGTTATTATGCGAATACATAAGAACTAGTTGATTTTTCTAGCTGTATGAAATATTTTCAGTTTAGAGTCGAAAGGTTTAAAATTTGTATAGTATTTCTCTCAATGCAGAATAACAGCAATAAGAATTTTTATTGTTGTTGTTTATAAACAGCACTATTAATTAAAAAAAGCTGAGAAATTCTTATTTGAAATATTTCTTTCTAATCACGAACTCTTTTCTGCTTTTAAAATGATACAGTTACTTAGTTGCGGCTCTTAAATCTACATCTGAGGCTCCCTGCAGCTGCGGTTTACTTCTGAATCCTCAATTGCGAGTGTTACTGACATGAAGTTTGGCCACCCCTTATATCTGTTGCTAAGGTGGAAGAATTGTGTAAAATAGGTATCCCGAGCTACTTTACGCAAATTTTCTTTGGAAAAGCATAGGATAGATACACTCCTCTTCTCTCCTTGGGGAATTACTTCTCTGTTAACCTACTGTTGGTTAAAGCAGCTCAACTCTGCTAGTTCGCTCCAGGTTGCAGAAGAAAATTGCAAAAATTGTAATTTCATCCTATTGATGTTCGAATGATCAACAAGATACCACAGTTAAATTTTAAACAAGCTTGATTGTGAAATACTCTATTTTAAAGTCCTTTCCTTGTTTAGTTCTCCTTTTTTATCTTTAATAATATACATTCTCTTGTACCCATTATGCCGCTTCACAAGAAATTATTTCCAAATATATCTCAGGATATATTTTTGAATAATTTTACCTTTCTAGCCTCATATATGTTCAACGCATATCGGTGCCATGCATTTTTCTAAAATGATGAAAATTTTAGTAAACTGAATTGCAGCATCGAAAACGTTATTCCTGAAACATGTTAACAAAGAAACGTCTGTCCTGTTCTGTTTGAAACTACGCAGTCTACATCCATTTGAACGTACTTTTAATAAGATTAGAACTTTTAATAACCTTACTACACACACTCTTTCAAGAGGCTTTCTCACTGTATTTGAACTTTTGCAACTCTTATGCCTGTTTAAGTGGTTTGATTACAACATGTGAAGCAACTTTAAGTAAAGGAAAGCCAAATAAATGCATTAGTTGTTTGAAATATTATGTTTCAAACAAAGTATTATTTTTCGAGGGTGTTCTTCTTTATATCGCAAAATTATCTTATCTCATACTGGCTTGAAAAAAAATCTAATAATTCTAGACTAGAAATTTAAGCGAGCAAGCAAAAGAGAACGGAAAGCACTGTGCAACTCAAAAGATCCTTAAAAGCAGCAATGTAAACTGCGAAATCAATAAATAAGAAAGTATGGAAAATATTGTTTTCTTGTCTTTTACTTACATTGGTATCGTTAAGTACAGGTTCCGTATATTTCACATCCATGTAAAAGGACTCGTTGTCATTCCCAGCCTTTAAGACTGAAGTATGGACTTTATACTTTTTCCCATCCATTTCTATTTCTTCTTCCGTAGTATTAGAGTACGTAGTATTCAGATGAGCAGCATCTTCCACTGCTGCACGGAAAGAATTTTCTAATGCTTCTACAAGAAGGAAGTATAGTTATTAGTAAAGTATCATATTATTGCTTTTGTACTTTTCAGTTATCGAGACCGGAATCAAATATGTATGTATGTATGCCAGTCCGTGTATATGCATGTTCATATATGTGAGTGTGTATGTACACATATACATAGTACGTACATACATATATGCATTCATGAACACATACATACATTTCTAAATCCGGTAGCGATAACAGAGGGAGTACAATTACTTTTAAAGACATTAATCCAAATTACGAAATGTGCTTGAGGATTTAAAAAAATTATAAAAAACTCAGAGAAAAATTATTATAATTCACTTAAATTAAATTTTTTATGTATGCCATTTTTGAGTAAGTGCTTACATAGCTTCTTACAATACACTCAACTCATAAAGGACAAATATTGCAAACCTTAAAAAGAAATATTAGAAAATAGTGTGTATTTCAAAGCTATATGAAAACTTTTAGCGGTTATATAGGACATTTAGTTTGCAAGAAGTTACTCACCGCGAAATTATATGAAAGATCTATACATTTATATCCCGAATTTTGAAAGGATTTAATAAAGACGGTAAAGAACTATGTGAGTTCGTATGTTATTTTTAACCTAAAACTGCTATTAGTCTCGAAATGAAAATTTGAATCGAATCACTATAAATGCATTGTTTCACCTTTCATTCGAATCTAATGCTATTCGGCTAAATGTAATATGTATATTCTAAATGTAATATGTATATTCGTAATCCAAACTACGAAATGTGCTTGAGGGTTTAAAAAAATTATAAAAAACTCAGAGAAAAATTATTATAATTCACTTAAATTAAATTTTTTATGTATGCCATTTTTGAGTAAGTGCTTACATAGCTTCTTACAAATACACTCAACTCATAAAGGACAAATATTGCAAACCTTAAAAAGAAATATTAGAAAATAGTGTGTATTTCAAAGCTATATGAAAACTTTTAGCTGTTATATAGGACATAGTTTGCAAGAAGTTACTCACGCGAAATTATATGAAAGATCTATACATTTATATCCCGAATTTTGAAAGGATTTAATAAAGACGGTAAAGAGCTATGTGAGTTCGTATGTTATTTTTAACCTAAAACTGCTATTAGTCTCGAAATGAAAATTTGAATCGAATCACTATAAATGCATTGTTTCACCTTTCATTCGAATCTAATGCTATTCGGCTAAATGTAATATGTATATGCTTAAAAGTTTAATCTCTCTGTTGGGAATTAACAAACTCAGCTAATTGAAAGCAATAGATGCGGTTCTTAAGAATATTCTTTTCTTACTTTTGAGTGGGATTGATTTAAATGATAAAAATGCATTTAATGAATGACCTATCTAATTAAAAATATTGAATATTTTCCTAGACTGAAGCTATGTAGCTTTTTATTATTTATTTCATATTTTGTTAAATTTTAATAAATTTTTTATTAACAAACTCAACGATTCAAAAGGGAGCAGCGGCAACAGTGTTCGGAATAAAACATTTTTATTTCCAGCGCGAAAGACTGTTTATCGGAAATTGTAACGATATGCTATTTCAAAATATTTTGTGATTTTGCTGTTGCACTGCATTTTATGTGGCGCAAGTGCGAAGGATGTGATATTTAATAAATAAAGCTAACTCACAAAACGTTAATAATAAAAAGACAAAAAACGTTTTATATTAGGAAAACTGAACATTGGTATGAACTGAGAAAAGACTGGAAAAAAGGGGAAAACGTATGAGAGCAAACACTGCATCAGGAATTCTAAACATATGCTGCCTTTAAATTTCTTGCAATTTTTCTGTTTAATTGTATATAGCGTAAGTGCGAAGATAAAAAATGTTGCTTTATAATAAAGACAAAAAGAGAAAAAAGGGTTGTTATTAGGAGAGAGAGCAACAGCACACTGGTAGACTGCGAGCTCAGTGAGAGCGTAAAAACGTTAACAAACCGTTTCGAGCGACCGTCAAGTTCTGAAACCATTCAGATTTTTTTTTAAGATTTTTTAAGAAAAATTGCCTATTATAAGATGCACTTATAATACTTTCAAGATAACATGTAAACAACAGTTTTAAATATAAAGGCGCAGGCTAATTATGCAAAACAGTAATAAGCAGCTTTTCTTGAAAATATTGATCTAATCTCTAAAGCTTAAAAGTAAAACGAAATGAGATGTGAGAAAGCTCACAACATATTCCAGAGTCAGTAATGGATAAAATTATCACTATTGCCAAAAGGAAACGAATATTTTAACTCCCAAAATAAATGTTTTCGAACTGTAAAATTTAAAAATACAGTTAAAATAAACCGTTATTCCGAACTACGGATTCGTAGCTATCTCTTTCAATAATCACTCCAAATAAGCGGGAAAGAAATTTTAATTTATTATGAACAATACTGATATGCAACAAAATAGGAGAACGCTGCTCGTAAACAATTCCCCCTTAAAGCATTAGAAATATCTAAACGCAATTCAGCTAACTCTCTTTGAACCGCAAAAACTCAGAGCTAATTAATAGTTAATTCATCGAAGCCTAACTATCGAGGCCGTATTTCTATAGTGTGACAGAGGATTCTGAATGCTTCGTAAAAAGTCAGTCAGGGCTTTGAAAATGCATTTCGCGAATTTTCAAGAAAGTCGAAAACTTAGTTATAAAAATTGTTCCCGAGGTCGTCAGGAGCGTTTTTTGCCCGTATCTCGCATTCTAATTGAGCTATGATTTGACGTTCTAGTTGATCTCGTAATTTTACACTTTAAAGTTGGTGGAATCAAAATGGAAATTTCTCCAATTCTGTTCAAGAAATAAACACTTATATACAAAACATACAGCCACAACTCTAAGTACATACAAAATAAACCCTAAAGGCTGCAAAAATTAATAACATAATACGTAATGTTTATAAGAATACATAAAAATAACAATATAATCAAAAGAATTTTTAAAAAAATTCGGAAATTTTCTACATACTCGTACTTAAGGAATGCCCATTCTGGTCAGTGGAATCCCCAAGGAACAACTAATCCTCATTGATCAAATAAGGTGCACATCTAATTGTAGTGCAGTACTTAAAGTTTAAGATATGAAACTCTGTATACGCAACATCACATTCATCAGTTTTTTTTCATTTGCAGCTTGCGTGAGATCTCTCGATGACGTTTGGAGGTTCCACAACCAAACATTGTTGAATTTCCTCTTCGTCGACTTCACATCTTCATCCTTGCTGTCGCTGGTTAATTCTTACCCTGACGAATCAACGAAAGGCTCTTAAACAAGTCTTCAGATTTTTAAGGCACTGCCGAGGAGAAGCAGGAGTGTCTGGCGGTCTTCCCAGATGTGTGTCACATGGAAGACGAACAGCACTGCCAAAAATCATTCGCGACGGAAAAACTCCAGTGATATCATAAACGGTACTCCTTAGCAGAAATAATGTCAGCTTTTGGCTTCTGTCTTACTAGTTCCGGGACAAGAACACAGAAAGATGTTCCAATATTCTTCGATTAAGGCTTTTCAACTATAGATGCATAGGATACCGGAAATTTTACGCAGTCCTTTAAATATGGGGGATGTGAATTTTTTCCAGTCTTTAAAATGAATAAGAAGAGCTCTCCTAATCGGGAAATTCAGTTGTCTACTAGAATTTCTGAAAAGGTTGAAGCTTCTTGATCAGGTATTGGATAAGTTTCCAGCCATTTATTTAAGTAATCTATCATGACGTACTTTTCATCCCTGTACTAGGTAAAGGATCTTGAGTATCCACAGCAAACCTTTCGAGTGGGGGGGATACTACTTTACAGCGCTGTAATCTTCCTCGTGTATAAGTTTGCGAGCCTTTCCAAGCTCTGCACACATCACAGGAGTTGAGCCACTTTTCTACATCTGCTTTGACCTTTTAACAGAAGAAACACCAGGAAATTTATAGAGAGTTTTCGTTACAAAAAAATTACTTCCACTACAGATACGAAGCTCTGATAAAGCAACACTAGAGAGTCGAGGTCTGGATCAGGTAAAGTATAGCCATCTGAAACTCTTTCCGTCATCAGCTTATCATTGGTAGTAGAGCTCTTCATCTCGCAGGTGAAGTGAATTCCAGCCCAATATGTTTTTGCCATCGGACTAAAGGGTGCCATTTCTTGTCAGCTGGAATTTTTTCCGGTTTCCATTAATAGCCTCAAAATAGTATCTTGTAATTGAGCCTTTCTCAGTTAATTGCTGTTCCATGGTTCAGTCTCTGAAGTTATGGAATGTGTCTTGATTTCTATAAGAATTTAACTTTTCCTCAGAACTATATTTTTACTCTGGTTTCGAATAGTGTTTGCACTTTTCTGCCCAAGGTCTTCTTAAAAAGGCATCAGCATTCCCATGCGAAGCTTCTTTGCGATGCCGAGACTAAAATTTCCACTTGTCATCTAGCCATTTGACATCTGATTCTCCGGATTTTTTTTAATTAAGTAGCCAACTTAATGAGCCATCATCAAAGTGCAATGTAAGTTTAAAACCGTAATCGTATTCATATTCGGGTTGAAAATAAGCCAATACTATAGCTGAATGCTTTATATTAGCTTACTACCAACACAAATTATTATGGCTTTAAATACTTCTTCACATTCTATTAGTATTATTCACATTAGTATTTGGCCACGATTTACAATTAGGGGTTCTTTAAATCTAGAGTTGGGAACCATTTGTTTTTTGATACCGTGTCTAAAGTTTCATCGATTTACACAAAGTGTAATTATCTTTCTTCGTAGTATCATTTAGAAGTCTGTAGTCGGTACATAATCACGTGAACCCTCTTTCTTCCGGACTAAGATCATAAGTAATACTCAAGAACTAGACAAAGACTCAATAATGTCATTGTTGCCCATCTTCAAAAATTTTCTGACTTCATCTTTTCTTGCGAAAGCAAGGATGTTAATTTAGAAGTCAAACAACAACAATCAGCGTTATATTTTCAAGTTTTCACAGGACTAGTTTCGATGGTTTTACCGAACCATCATCCTCAGCTGCCAAAGCGCAAATGAACGAGATAAGGTATAGTGATTAGATAAGATAAGATAACATGAACAGGAGTCAAGCTACTGGCGCCATCTGTTGATGAAACCAGAACTAAAACTTAATTTCTTTAACCTTTTGAGGCCGGGGCTTTGGTAGCAGTAAAAACTAGCAAAAGACGGGAAATCTTGAACCGAATGCTTTCCCCCCGTTAAGAAATCACCTCCTATTTGCAACAAAGATTCTTGTGTAGTTTAATGGATTCTCAGAGGGGTGCATCTATGTCGCAAAAGGGAGATCTTTGAAAGAGATAAGTGGTTGAAAACCCAGGGATGTCAAATTTGACATTTCACCCCACTTTTCAGCCTGTAAAATGGGGGAAAATGACATGGCCAATAAAGTGGACAACCCCGTCCATTCAAACAGGGAATACAACTGCCAATATATTGGCCATCCGTCTACAAAAGGTTAAAGGCTAACGTCAAAGATGGATTGGAATTTCCTTAATATATAATACAGTTACATGTAATTACATATTACAGTTTATTATCCGGCCTTACATGTAACTGTAACTGTATATGCGCAAATTCGAAAAATCGAAAGTACTTCCGCTTCACTTTCATGAATTTTCACCTATGTGGACTTGCTAGCTATAAAAATGCTTATCGTGCGTGTATTGTGACCATTGGACTGTGTATAAGTGAACGTGTGTTGAAATATATAGCTTTTCTAGTATTAAATAAAAATGTTATTACCTAGCCAAGCTACCATCGTTATATCTACAGCAACAACACACGCCACCAAAAATGGCATCCATAGACGAAAGCCACAGTATGTGTCCGAATGCAGAAAACATGGCAGCAATTAAATATTGTAGACACCTCACAATTGTCCTCCAACTGAGAAGTTTCCTGGGACTATGCACCTACTATAGGAGATTTATGAAAGAGTTTTCTTCCTTCGCCTGATCTTTTCATAAAGTGATAGAGAGTAAGCAAACGTTCTTGTGGATAAAAGAATGTGTGGATGCATTTAACAAACTGAAGAAGGTTTTAACACCTAGAGCAATCCTGAATTATTCTCATTTCAGCAAACAATTTATTCTTGACATGGTACGAGCAATGGGAGTGTCCGTGCTGTTTTGTCCAAGAAATAAACGACCGAGAATGTGTCGTAGCTTACTGTGGCAAGTGTATATCAAAACCGAAAAGGAATTACTGCATCAACAAGAAAGAGTTGCTTACCATAGTTAAAACAGTATTTCCACAAGGCAGAAAAGTGCTGCTCCGTACATATCATGCATCGTTCACCTGGCTCTAAAATTTCAAGAATACCGAAAGCCAAATAGTTAGATGGATATAGATACTCCTGGAATTCCCTATCCGTCATTGTAAAGAACCACCACCCGGAAAGGTCGACGCCCTGTCTTGATGATCATACTCGAATAGCCGCCGATATTGTTCAAGTGTCGAAGCAAAATACAAGCTGTTTTATCCAACAGTAGTCACGAATCATCTGACCAATCATTAACATCGTCTCACCCAGACACATGGAATGGCGTAAAAGTCAGGAAAGACCAGCTGGAAGACAGTGACATTAAAACGCATAATTGACTTAATGAAATCTTCAAATAGAAAACGTACTTGGCAGGATAATTACATTTATGGCCTTGATAGAAAACAATGTTGGGGTTTGGGGTCTCACTCCACATACGAAACGGCGTTTTGTACCGGAAGTCGGATGATGGAAAGGCATTCCGATGGTAGCTGATACTTCTAAAACCCTGGATGTTAAAGAGCTACACAGCATACCGACACGAAGCCACTTTGGAATAATGAAGACTTTGCACAGACTGTAATAGGCTGACATGCAAATTTTTTGCCATTTTTCCGTTGCCTGTGTGGGCTGGAAAGTACCAAAGAAACGCAGCCGAGAGTAGCTTTTACGGTGACGATATATCAGCGCCATTGCATTCGACATCCTAGAACCTCTGCCATGAACTGTAGATAGCAACAAATATATGCTCATTGTCATTGAGTACTTTACAAAGTGGCCTGATCAAGAGACTGTCACCGTAACAGACGTTTTGATACATGATGAGCATTGAGTTTCTAGGTCTAGAGTGTCTAATTACATTCCGGCCAAGGAAAGAATTTTATTTCGGTTCTAATTAAAAAACTCTGTAAGCTACTCGCTTTAGAGAAAAACCCAAACGACACCTTTATATTGTAGTCAGACGGCATGTTAAAGAGGTTTAAGCGATCTATCCTTAAATATCTCTTTAAATGTTTTCATTTACCAACAGGACTGAAATTTACCTCTACCAACAGGTAGAGCTACTCTACCAACAAGCTACTCTATTTACCAACAAAACATATGTTACCTTTGTTCTTACTGGCCTAGTGCAATCTTGTCCACGAGACTAACAACTATTTCCCATCCCTGACGCTCTTCGGCCGTGACCTTCGTCTGCATTGTGGTCTCTTATTTGGTCTCCCTCCAAATACGCCTTCGTCGCCTGAGGAGTACATTCAAGATCCCCCGGCACGTTTTGAAAAGTGATGCATAGTTTTTCACGAGATCTAGTCGACTTGGCGACGGAGAAGACGAAGACCCAATACGACGCGAAACCTACAGGATATTGATTCAAAGAAAGTGACCAAGTGTGGTTATGGAATCCGTTTCGACGGTAGGACGTTCTTCTAAACTACAGTCACCCTTGAACGGTCTTCGCACAGTCCTAAGAAAGCTGAACGACGTCGTAGTTCGGATCCGTAAGTTGTCAAATTCTAAGCCTAAAGTCGTTCATTACGACAGGCTAGCCCCTTATATTGCCATAGTACATAGTCCCCTTAGTGTATAAAATGTAAAAAGACCACAGCCTTATGCGTATATAAATTTGTATCTCTTGATTTAGTATGTCATTTGTTGTATGTTATTTATTAAAGTTATTATTTTAGTATTGCTTTGGTTTTCCTTAATTGCAAGTATGGTTTCCTGTCCCGAGATGTTAGTGCCCGGAACGAACAGAGCTTTAAGAGAGTAAAACTTCGAGGGAAAAATAAGGTTACAAAGGCAAATCCATTTAACATTGAGCTAAATGTCGCCAAGCTGGCAATAGTTTTGGCGACTAATTTTTTGTGCATTTTTTGACATTTTGGTCCGATCCCTGTAATACTGTAATTGGTTTTATCCCTATATGTAACCGTAACTGTATATGCCTTCCAGAAATTTTGAGAAAGCGAAGGTACTGGAAATTTCCTCTACGGCTGGAAAAAAACTACGTAAAACAGGAGAACGTATCAAGTTTCAGTTTAGTTCAAAGCTTAGTTCAGATTATTGAGTCTATTGAGATATCATTTTGCGAGCTTGTGCAGCTTGAGCTTTTCGTATTGTGATTGTTTAACGTTCTTAGAAATTTGAAGTGCTAACTACTAATTGTGCTATGTCATTTTCTTGTGTATTTAGAAATATTCTTGTGTGTTCTTGATTTTTTTAAACTTATGAAGATCTATTCTCATAAAGTTTAAATACTCAGTAAAAAATAAGCATAAAGCATAAAGTTTAAATACTCAGTAAAAAAATAAACTATTTGTGAAGTTATTATTTTTCAGTTATCCAAAACGTTATACGGGAATAGAACTATTTGAAACTGGCCCTGACATGAACATAATCATATTAAATGTTATCTTAAAGATAGAATGTTAAATAAATGAATTAAACAATCAATGGATGCTCACTCTCAAGTTGCTGGAAATAGTGGTTCACTTGTTTAAAGTTGAAAAAAGGAGAATCAAATACTTCATCAAAAGGAAGTACGCCACCATTTTCTTCTTTATCTTCAATTCCAGTTTCAACTTCATCTTCATCCTTCACACCTTCACCAGCATTTTCATCGTCACCCAAATCTGTTTCGTCGTGACCTTCATTTTTCTCATCATCTCCGGCATGTGTTTCAGAAGTTTTGACTTCATCTTCGCTGGAATCCTGTGCACCACTATCATCGTTTTTTTTATCTTCTGTGTCTTCTTCTGTGCCCTGATCACCCTCTTTGTGTTCATCTTCGTTGTCAGTTTCGTCTTTCTCTTCCGCATCATTAGTGTCCACTTTATTTTCTTCGTCGAATTCTTTGTCTTTCTTTTCAGCTCCATCATCTCTTCCTGTGTCTTCTTTTCCCGGAGGTCTGTAAAAGAGTAAATGTTTCTAGTTGTCAGTTTAGTTTTTCTAATAATACAGCATAAAATATAGCATAATTTTAATGTTTTAAGCTGTTGATTGAAACGAATGAATATTTCAAATTTTTGTAAATGCTTTCATCAATCATTATAACGGCTCTTGAAACATAGATATTTAAAATGTATTACTTTTTTTTAGTGTAACTGAATCTCACGTACATAAAAAGATGATTTGGGGATTACTGTTTCGAAAGAACAGCTTCCCATTTCCTTTATTTCTTAAGCTTAAGTATCTCAATGAATAAGCATTTACAATATGTTTATTTAGACACGAACACCGTATAAATAGCACGAAAAACTTTTACGTTTTCTATTAACACAACTTCTCTTAACACTCAAAATACTCACTTTCGAAAATTCACAAATGCTCATGCAGAACTTCTTTGCATTAAGCCAAGATTAACAAATAAAAAAATATTAACATAAATTGCAAAAAAAGAATAATGTTTTCTAATTAATTCTCCTGCTTTAAGTAAAATATTTCGTATTATAATGTCGTCCCTTCATTGAGTCAAGAAGGAATAATTTGAAAATAATCTGACGTCAATATTTTCACTGAAGCAAATGACAAAATTGTTTTTTAATAATTTGAAAAACAAAACGGTCTTTTTGTTTTTTACTCAAACAACTGCGAAATTCTGCAAAAGTTTTTTATTTTATGAAAATATTTCAAATGGAAAAAAGTATTTTTTTAAATAAAATATGGTTTGAAAAAAACGTTTTTATTTCGTAAACGTTTTAAAAAAATTCGTTTTTAGCTTTGAAAACATTAATCTGCATTTTAATTTGAGAAATACGAGAATAAAATCACAAAAATATTTAATTCTGGGAAAAATGTACTACTTGGTATTTCTTAAAATAAAAACGAAATTATTTTGTAAAACTTTTGTTATATGATTAAAATTATTTTTTATTTTTGAAAGAATTAACCTGCATTATATATTAAGAAATGCGGAAATAGACGAAATTTTCTCAAGAATCTGAAAAATTCAGAATGCATTAATTTCCACTAATATGAGCATCCGTTTATTTTAACACAGTTTCAAGAAAATTGGAAAAATAAAACTAAATTGAAAAATTAAAACTATTCTGACTATTCTGGTTGTTAACTTGAGAAATATCATGGCTTGAAAATGATCTTTATTATTTTACACTCATTGCCAGGATTTTAATGAATGAATGGGAAAACTAAGAATTAACGCGTAACATTTAAGGTATTTTTTTGCTTTATCCCAGACATTAGCAAAGTGAAAATAAAATTGGAAGATTTCTAAATATTAAACTGTGTCTATGCTTTTATTGTTATTTTCTTACTATTTTTAGAGGCAACAAGTTCATGAGATTCAATCTTAATTCAAAGCCTTCTTACATGCATTTTTTAATTTTCAAAGAAAATATTTATGATTTGCATTAAAGACTACTAATTTTTTGTTTTTATTTCACTAGTAAGAAAATGCATGAGGAACAGTATTTGATGCGGAATCTAATATACACATGTGTACTCGATATCCATTAATAACAGAATAGTCGTAGAAAATTCTTTATCTGTAGCTGGTATAGCGCCAATATGTCATAGGTCTACCAGATCACGGCCTCTAGACTTCGAAGACGTTTTCACTAAATTTCGATAGATGTCTGAAATTATTTTCTTTCGATCCTTCTCCAACATAGAGAAAAGTTCTGTACCGGTTTAAAGGTCGTTTGATCAACCGTCACTTTAAATACGTTTCTTTTGATGAAAGGGTGAATTTTCATATTGAAAATGGTAACAGCCGGTTCAAAACTGTTGCCACAAGATGAATAGCAAATAATTGTCTAATACTGCCTCACAGGCTTCCGCATTCAATGTTAAAGGCGCAAAAATCAGTGGACATAGACTAAACTGCGAAAAATACTCATTCCGTAACTCTTGTTCCATCAAATTTCACAGTAAGAACAATGTACGCTCACCTGATATTCGTCAGGTCGACATATGTTCTTTCTAATGGTCCAAGATATAATGTAATTCTTCACGATAAATGAAGCTCATCATTTGTGCTGGAGTCCACAGTTGATATGTTTTGCGCTTATTATAATCGGCCCAGTATTGAGTTAAATGATTATTGGCTTATGTGCTGCAGCTCGGCCATAGAATCTAAGTGTACAACACCTACCGATGCACTCTACGAATACCAATATCACATCCAGATGCCAACCAAAAGTCTGCTGGCACTTTTTTTTTTTTTTTTTTTTTTTTTTTTTTTTTTTTTAACAAAATTTGACTTCACTAAAGATCAAAAGCATCGGTCGTCCCTATCTACCAATTGTTTTAACTTATCTAGACGCACCATCAAGCTATATTCCTTCGTATCACGATTAAATCTCAATAATTCGGTATTTTTCCTGGCAAATATGGGTATCCTGATTATCATCTCACAGAATCTCTATCAAGTGGTATAAAAATTGTTAGACATTTTTAGAGCACTTACGGTACTTTATCTTCAGACTCGTATAACTGCTAAATTATTACAGAAACACGAAAATGAATTAGTCATCTAGGTTGGAACTCAAATCTACATTTGTGGGGTACATCAGAACAAAATATGTGTAAAACTGATAACTTTTTTGATCCAGTGCCGGGCTCTAGACGTTTATAGGCATTAGCTACTACTAAGGCTGGAAGCGGTATGGTCTCTTCGTTATGGAGGCACCTAATAGGTGGTCCACCGTTTCCTCCTAGGAAGGGACCGACAAATTACATCCATGCCTTCTCCAAGATTCGAACACGTATCTTCGATAAGGTCAAAGTCCCTTTTCCGTCTGCGCAGCCGATACTGATGTTTTTTCAAAAACTAGTACAGAGACTACAAAGGCTTTGATCCTGATATTTCTACAATTAATCTTCATAAATGGTCGAAGATACAGCAGAAACTGGTTGAATTATTGATGAAAAATGTTTAGAAACTTCTTAGGTATCGATTAGCAGTTGAACAGAGGGATACAGAAAGGTTTACTTACTTGCGTTTTCTGATGTAACTCAGTGTAAATAAAAATTGTAAACAAGTATAGTATAAGAAATATGCTCTTTTTTTCGGACAACAGTCTAGGATTAATTATTGCCTGAGTCCGATGTTTTAGGTTCCCAACATGATTTTATTATTTTTCATACTCTTATTTTTTTTTTTCAATGAAGGGAAATAAGTACTGGATGTCCACGGAAGAATACTCTATGTGTATGGCTCAAGACTAGCCTAATCGAACTTTGACAGTGAGAAAAGATGCTGTTCTTCTTACGAATTTTAGTATTAATATTCTTCTCACGAATTTTAATATTAATGGATTTATATGTTCTAAATAATTAAAAAAACCTGGAGAAACTCACTTACACTACTGGAACTTTATCTAACGTCGGCCTTCCGTATCCGAAACCTTTTCCTGGTCCAGCGTAATCCACGTCTGATGGTTCCCTAAAATCATAGTCAGGATTGTTGTCTATTATTCCATGATCTCTATCCTTAGGTATATGTCCCAGATCTGTATCATACATATCAAAGACTCCATTGCCCAGCAGATCAGGATCTCCAAAAGGAGGTATTCTTCTACGACCTTCAATGCTTTCATCTAGATTTAAAATAAATCTTTAGCACCACTTTTTATTGTCATATATCTTTGGGATTTTAAAATTATGAAATCTGAGATTAAGTTAGCGTTTTTTTAATTGCATTTATATTACAATATAGATATATAAATACATAAGCATGAGGCTACACAGCATGCAAATTTCAAATGCAGAACATGCAAAAGTCAAATAATTCTGGAAATTCAAATTAAGAGCTACTATAAATAAGTCTTTGGACCTACAATAATCATTAATACTTGTAAATAACTGGAAACTCACTGAGTTTTCCCTCTATACCACAAATGTTCTTTGTATGCCTCTTTAATCACATGCCACGTATCTAAACTGTATTTGATTTCGGACTACACATTTTTTGTATTTTCCAGACAATGTTTATCACAACAGTACTAATGCATGTCTGATGCACCGATACAAGTGTTGTTGGCAGTAGTGAACGGGAACGTAGCCTTCAACGTAACCCTAAAGAATGATGACACACAGCGTTATGATAGAATACTTGATCCTGGTGGGCTATGCAAACACAGCTAAGTCGTTCTCACCAGAATTCCAAAGTTGGCGCTTTGCACTGTATTTTCGGACAACAGACTAGAATTAATTATTGCCTGAACCCGATGTTTTAAGGTTCCCAAAATGATTTTATAATTTCTCCTATTAATATGTTTGTTTCAGTCAAGAGAAATAAATACTGGATGTCCATGGAAGAATGCTCTATGCGTAGGGCCGAAGACTAGCCTAATCGAACTTTGAGAGTAGAAAAATGAATTATTAATGTGTGTTTGTATTGGACCAGAAGCAGCAAGAAGTAATAAAGCTGAAATAAAAAAATAGGAATTTATTTATAATCCGCACTGATTTTAACAAAAAGCTAAATGCTTTTCTAAAGATTTATTGTGTTTCATATTATTATTTTAGAAACATCTGAAGTAATGCACAAAAGAATAATACGAAATTTAGAAGAGGAGGTTTATCATGTTATTTATTAGAGTAAAACATGTTAATAGAAAGTGAAATACGAACTCAAAAAACAGAGAATAGTAAATTTTTACAATTAGAATTCTTCATTAAAGATAAAAGTTATCTGTAAGCATGGAAAGTTTCAAAGAACTAATCCTGGAAAGAATTTCTAGTTCGGGAGCTGGATTCATCGAAACTGTGAAAAATTATGTAAAGAATTATCACCTGGGAACTCATGCATGCTTTTCTGGTGTGGAAATCCATGGTTCAAGTCCCAGCGAGAACACGGTTGATTTTTCATGTTGGCCACGGTTGATTTCCTGCTTTGCAGAAACCTGGTGGTCTCTATAATGGGCTCAAGCTACGTGATGGATGGTAATACGTGATGGATGGTAATTCGTCACTATTTTGATCTAACTGAATTGGCTCTTGTTTTGGTCTCCAGTCGTCTTTTAAGCGGGGAAGAATGTACAGAATTATCTTATCCCTTTCCACCGTGCGTTCTTTCGTGGTGTAAATAGTCAATATGCCAAATGGTAATTCAAATATCCATTGTTCGAATCCCGGCGATCGCGCAGCGAATTAGATAACATCTGGAAAGAGCAAGTTCTGCGAAAAGCGCTCAGAAAAACTTAATAGTGTCTATAATGTTAACTAAAATTTCATGTCTAAACCCTCATGTGAAGAATATTTCAAATAATTCTGGCAGAAGAAAATTTAAGCATATGTCTAATAAAGACTACAAAACACATGTAGCTCCTATAAGAATGTAAGTATAAATGGAAACTATTAATGACTGAATCAACAAAACTAGACTTGGATGGTGGTTAACATCACACTCTCTTTTCCATCAGCTCGTAAAATTATAAGAAAGTTAAGTAAGTTATGAAGAAAGTTATTAAAAGTTTATGAGAAAAGAAAACAAGTTTAGAAAAATACTATAAAATGCCACCTAAATGGAAAGCTATTGATCAAATGTAAAATTAAACTAAAAAGAATATTTGTATTTCTCGTTATATTTATATTTTATTTAAACAGCTTGTATTTTATTTTAGTAGCATTTCCGAGAAGACCACTCCAAGATTTTTATTTATTTTCAAGTTACGAATTTCGTATGCTGACAAAATGGAAAGCATTACAAATTGAAAAATACTATTTATTGCAATCCTCGTGCGCAGATGATACAATAAAATAAATGCACAGGTATGTCCTGAACAATTAAGTGTTTCATTTATTATAGAAATACACAAGTCTTGCAGGGTTGATTTGCGATGAAATAAAATCATAGCAATCTTTTCCTACAACTCGGCTTTCCCATTTTTAAGAGCTAATTTTAAATATAACATTTTTTATGTTCCGCATCTTTATTTTTGGAGGACTAGTTCTTAAACTACTAAGTCGATTGTAACTGCTTAGCTTATAATTGTTTCAGTTGTCAAACTGAAATTTATATAAAATTTCGATATCAGATTATGCTTTCTCCTCGATATTATGATTTAAAACTTTTAAACTTTTCCAAATTGCTTTTAATTTTTTCTGAAATTTTATAGATAAACTCCCAAAATATCAGACTTGAACAATATAGCAATTAGCAACTAAACAAATAGAGCAACAATATAGCAAGACAGCAATTTTTTAAGAAGTATTTCCGTAAACATTAATAAATTTTCGGAAACATTAATAAATTTTCGGAAACATTAATAAATGATTTTCTTGGCTAATGAAAAATAATGATTTTCGTGGTTAGGAAATTAAACCCCCCAAAAAGGGCGCATTAATGTGGATTTTATTACCATGGTAAAACAAACGCTCCACGAAACCATTTACGAAATGATAATAGAAGAAAGTGTTTTATAAAAACATTTCAGAAATAATAATTAACAATGAAATATTTAGGAATTTCTCTCAATCGAACATAAATCTTGAGTTTTCTCACACGAAATTAGGAGGTTCATTCTAATTTCAACAAGCTTCTTGTAAAATTAATTTTACCTTTTATTATAATAACTATAAAAAAACTATTAAACGGGTTTTTAAATGGAATTACATTCCATGAAATAATTTTCACGCGAATTTTCAGAGCTTATTGACTCTAGAAACGTCGAGGCTTTGCACTGTTTTTGGACATTACGTACTTTTGGCAAATGTTGCTCCTGCGCGAAGCATAAGATTTTATATTTATCGTGCCACATGTTCAGGTATAATCAGTTTTCAGTTACTGCTATTCATCAAAAGGTTAGATCCATAATTTATTTTTCGAATTTTATTAATATGTATAATTCTAAAAATACACGTCATTAATAATTTAATGGTATATTCAATTGATATAAGTAAATCACTTTAATAGACAAAAGATGTTCCAGGCGCTATACATTATGTATCTAGTACAGGATCGTTTGATTTTTTTTTTTTTTTTAATTTCTTACTTTATAACGGAGGAAAAGCTTTTGCATTTTTTGAAGGCTTCCGAAAATGTATAGAAATTTTCAGTTTGATTCGTAAATTTCTTCAAGAAAGTAATGGCTTTCCTGCATCAGAAAACCATCAGAGAAACAGAAACAAGTACTAGCAGCAAATTAATACCATCAAAGAAACAGAATGTAGCAGATTAAATATTACTGCAGCAAGTAGATAATGAAAATGACACTTTTATAAATACTAGTTTAAGAATTAAAGTAACATAATATAAATGATGATTTTCCAAGTATTTCTGTTTACGTCCTTTTGAATTAAGAAATTATATGTTGAGAACTAGTATTAAAAAACTTCTTTTTTCATTTCATATATTGTTCATGGCTCAAAATGATATTTTAAATACATGCGACCTACAAATTATTCAAACTTCCCTTAAACAGCCACCTGACATCATTGCAAATGCCAATAAGGGAAAATACAAAGAATATTTATATTTTCTGAATGTATCTATATTGTATTTCTTTCGTCTTAAAAATATTTACATTTCTATTAGTTTCTACCTATTAAGGGTCAAAAGAAACATTACCTGGAGGTTTAGAAGGCACCTCGCCTGCTCCAGAGGACTCGTCACGTGCTGCAGGATAGAAACGCCGCCTTGGTATTGCTAAAGAAATCTCAGTTAGTAGAAGAATGGTGAAGAAGATTCCAAAGCTTCTGCCAATCATGGCTTCAAGATTCCTATAAGAGATTTTGCGCATTGTAGTAACACAACTTTTTTTTTTTTTTTTTTTTAAGTTTAATATGCAGTATCTTTTGTCATGAGGCTTTTGTTTTTTGTTTACGAGATTTGTTATTTATCAAATGATGTAAACGAAAAATGACTGTAATTGTCCTGCCATAAGATGCAGCTTAACAGCAGGTAGCAGCAATATATTGCTTTATTAATTAATTAGCGTAAATTTAAGGTCAAAGAAGAAACATTTGTTGTCGTAAGTAATATCTTCGAAGTCTTTCCAGATCTTTGGGCCATTATGATGCGTTACATTGTGCTATGTTACCGTGGACTTATTATCTACTATCCCTAAAAATTGCCATTACGAAAAAATAGCATATTCAGGTTTATCTTCCGTTTAAAAAACATTATGAAATAAACTCGTCCTGCGCTATATCTGCAAGATTGAAGTAAAACAAACTTAAATTCAAACCAAAAGATTAAAATTTGAAAAACAAATCTGATGTGGACACTACATGGCTTCCTTGTACAGCCTATTAAATTATCACTTTTTTCCGGCACTTCGTTTAAACTTAATTAATCGATCAAGTCAATTTGAAAATTATTTCGGATATTGCAAATTTGGAAATTAAATATACCGGCCAATTTTTGCCTTACTGGTGTCAAACTTCTTATAATTTCTTATTAAATGTTAAATGTTGTTACTTAACACTTTTTTTAATTTGACATTGCAAAATATCAATATTTTCGACATTTCTTTAATTGGATGTACATGACAACGCCAATGATTGAAAACAAAAGTCGTGTAAATAATTTAAACCTATATATATATGTGTGTGTATATATATATATATATAAAGAAACATAATAATAGGCTAAAAATTAACAACAAAATTTTTAAACTCGTCCTGCGCTATATCTGCAAGATTGAAGTAAAACAAACTTAAAGCACCTGAAATTAAAATTAAATTGGAATCAAAGCAAGGCAATTCCTCAACAATATTAATAGTTGCAACCGTGTAACACAATATCTAAACATATCAAATTAAAATAAGAATTAATTAGTAGAACAAACTCGTAAAATAAAAAATGAGAAAAAGAAAATATGTAAAATTATACAAGTATAAAAATTAATCTCCTTCTACTGAAACTCCAATTCGGAACTCATCAGGGGAAATGAATTCAAGTTTCATAAAAGTCGATTAATATGTTTTTCGAAAACCTGTTTTGTTCTTCTGGTTCATTTGAGATAAAAAAGCGCAAAAAGATTCAATTAAATTTTCATTTTAAGACATGCAAATTTCTATACAACCGAAAAATCGAATCTCGAATGTATCCAAAATTTTTCCTGCACGCTTTCGAAATACTTGGAAAAATGAATAAAGCATTACATTGTGCCAAATTGACTACTCAAAATAAATAAATAAATAAATAAAACTTTACATTATTCAAATTAACAATTCAAAAAAATACAAATTGGTGTAATGTCATTGCATGTGAATCCGAAATCCAAAAGCAATTTCAAATAAAGAGCAAAACAAATATACTTTAAATCAAATTGTCTTTTAAAAAACACTCAAAAATTGGGTGGTCCCCGATTATGCTAACCTAAACTTTTAATACCAAGAAAAGGACAAACTTTTCATAGAGATTTCTAAAAGTAATAAAATCTAATCTGAGCCTTAAACAGCTAAAAACTGAATACCCATTTGAAACAAAATTAAAAAAAAAAAAAAAAAAAAAAAAAAAAAAAAACGCAAATTTACTGAATTCTTAAGACGACCATCTAAATATAAGCTTACTAAATTCGATGACCAAACTGTGTTTCTTGCAAGTTGAAGAAAAGTTGAATTCAAGGCTACTCAGGAGAAGCAAAAATTTGTAGTTCTTGAAAAAAGTATGCGATGAGGTTCAAAAGATTAAAATTATTCCAATAGTGATTCCAATAGCAGAACTAAGTATTTTAACGTATATGATTCCAATAGCAGAACTAAGTATTTTAACGTGTGTTCAAAATGTCCTATTCTGTTAAACTTTATGTGTGGGGAGCCAAACGTTGAGTGAAGTCTGTAAAAATTATTACCGACGAGAAAGTTTATCGTCTACTCCAAAATGGTGGAGTAAGAAATTTCTAAAAGATGCTGTGTCCTCTGTAAAATCTTAAAACACGAAAACAGAATTGGCTCAAACTTCAGGAAAGGAAAAAATAAAGGTTATAAAAGATAAAAGTCTTCAGGAATTTGCATATCTTAAAATGAAAATTTAATTGAAACTTTTTTTGCGGTTTTTTATCTCAAATGAACCTGGAGAACGAAACATGTTTTCGAAACATATTAATCGACTTTTAAGAAACTTGAATTCATTTTCCCTGATGAGTTCCGAATTGGACTTTCAGTAGAAGGAGATTAATTTTTATATTTGTATAATTTTACATATTTTTCCTTTTCTCATTTTTATTTTACGAGTTTGTTCTACTAATTAATTCTTATTTTAATTTTGATATGTTTAGATGTTGTGTTATAGCTCTTATACACTGTTGCAATTATTAATATTGTTAAGGAATTGCCTTGCTTTGATTCCAATTTAATTTTAACTTTAGATGCTTTACGTTTATATAATAGGGGGACCGGAAAGTAATGTCGCTTTCTTACATTAAATTCAACCGAGTAAATTTGTAATAAGTTTTTATTTTCAATCAGTAATATAACCCCTCGTAATCAGCAACCTTTTGCCATCTAGTATGCCGATTTTAATCCCAGAGATTAAAAATCATTGGTTTGGTAAATATCTCCGATGGCATTTGGACATCATCCAATTTTCAAATTTTTTGCACTAAGAAATGTTGTAGGGATCGGAATAAATGGAAATCCGAGGGTGCGATATCGGGCGAATATGATGGGTGGGCAGTACCTCCCACCCCAACTTCATTATTTTTCCGTGTCGTCGTGCACAGGTCGTGCATTGTCGTGTTGCAGAATGACGCCTTTCCGTTGACAATCGCCAATATTTTCGATAAAGATTGGTTCACTAGATCCATTGTTCACAGTAAGGTATACTTAATAGATTTTCCGGTTTCAGCATTCAAAAGAAAATTCCGCGAATACTCATCAAACATCCAAAAGCGCCTTTTCGGAATGTAACCCTTTGTAACCGCCTTTGAGTTTGGGATTATCATATAGGACTTATTTTTTGTCTCCACTAATCAACGATCAAAAAACGGTTCTTATGGTACCATTAAAGCAAAGTTGCATGTGATGGATAGGTTGGCTTTGTTCTTTCGGACAGATTATGGGGGACTCAAACACATGCTTGCTTATTTTTATTCTACTTTAATGTTCTTCGATGGTCGACCAAGGGGGTAAGAGTTTTGACATGGATTGCTTCCACTTTGCCTAGCATGTTGTTGTCGACATGCGCGGAAACGGACATTACTTCCAAGTCCCCTATTTATAAGTACATTTTAATTATCAAATAATTGCCTAATACTGCGCAATGCTACAAAGTAATAAAGTAATAAGTTATTTACTTATGTATTTAAAAATAATTTATATAAGTAACATTTTAATTAATCGTAAAATTTTCCTAATACTTGCGCAAATACTACAAAGTAATTTAAAAATAATAATTTATTTACTTAAATAAATTATTATAATAATAATAATAAATAAATATAAATAAAAATAAATTATTATTAAATACATATCAATTTAATAATAATTTATTTATTTACTAAAGTAATTACATATATATATACAGAGTGTTTCAGCGAATCGGTTAGAAATTTTCAAGAGAGATAGAATACACCTAGACGATGAAAAATCACACAGCAAAGCATGGTCGAAAGCGCTTTCCTGGAGCGGTCGTGACGACACAAATCACCAAAATGGAAGGACACGAACAGGGTGAGAAAACATGTTTATCAAGCTTAGTACAGCAGACACCAAGAAATAAGAACAAAAATACACGACCATCGTCCTCAAAGAAGATGTTCGAAATTGGAACCCCTGACCATGATACAGGAACCATGCGTCATACATCTTCCATGTGTGATGCAGATCTTCCATGCCGGAGATGTGAGACCTGCATCACTGTCCGGGATCGTAATTTCGAACACCACCTTTAATGACGATCATTGTCTAGTCTTGTTCTAATGTCGTTTTCTTACCCCGTTCGTATCCTTCCTTTTTTGTGATTTGTGTTGTCACTACCGCGCCAGGAAGCGTTTTCGACCATTGCTATATGATTTTCTATCGTCTAGGTGTATTCTATATCACCTGAAAGTTCGTAACCGATTTGCTGAAACACCCTATATATAAGTTTGTTGCTGCCGATTGCTATATAAAAAAAGAGGTACACAACTTTTATATAAAAAAATTCATGTAAAGTTTCATATAAAAAATTTCAACGTTCTACGGCTTATCATATTTAAGTAATGCGAGATACATACATACGCACGCACGTACAGGCGTCACAAAGAAATCCCTTTTGAATCCATTTTAAACCCGTACATACAGACGCCACGCAAAACAATCATCCGAAAGATCGAGAAAGGTCAAAATGGATATTTCCATATGAATACGGTACCTGAAATTATCCGCAGTTACAATACTTCCTTTACTTCGTACAAGGAAGTAAAAAGTACAGGGATCAGAGAGGCATTTGATTCAGAATAATAAAATCAGTTTCAAACTTTTAAATTAACCTACAGGCTTTTAACTGTATATTATTATTTTGAGTTAAATAAAAGACTTAGACACAGTTATTGGCACTTCGAGAGTAACATGCTGTTACTATTAAAATATTAGATTTAATCAAGGTAATAAGACACTATTGTATGTGAATGTTGAAAGTAGTGAGAAGATAGATGTAGTGGGAAGGAACTCTAGCATTATTTCTACAAGTTTTTTCGAAAGGATTTCTTCAGTCAGATACATTTTGGAATATGACAACAAAGTGAGCATAGAGTTTTGAATTCAGTAAAAAATATATCCATTTATTCTAAAATAAAAACCTATTCATCAAAGAAAATTAACCTTCGTCAGCCAATTATTATTTAAAGAGGAATGAATAAAAATAAGATACAATATTTATTATAACATTGTATAAAAATAGTAATTATCTATACATAGCGTCATCATAAAGAAACTTTACTCTGTTTTATGAATTTTTTTCATGAAAGGAATAAATACAAGAGACTTTTACTCATAAGTATTACCTGGTGAAATTAAATAGCTAAAAATAATATATAAGTAGTCGTCTTAATGAAACACAGATAACGTTTTCAATGAAAGTGATTATGGGCTCCATTTCTTTAATTACTAAACCTAGACATGATGCTTCCATTTACAAAGCTTCTTTAAAAACGGGACAGAGTTTTAAAAAAACCAGTTTCAACTTTGTGGTTAGAGAATATTCTGTAAAAATAAAGTCTACTATTTCATGTCGTTCCTATAAAACTTCCGCTGAATGAAACTCGTGCTTTACTTAGCTAAATATAGAAAGTTTCATACCTCTCTATGTAAAATTCTTGGAGATATTTGAGAAAGAATTTACTGGCTTGTATCTTTTTTATGACTCTTACCGCTGCAATTAAAAACAATATTTATTTATATTTAAAGACAATATCAATATTTATAAAGAGATAACAATAATTAACTGGGAGTTACAAATAAAATACTGTTCGTTTCTGGTGACTAAATAAAATACTGCTGATTTCTGGATGTTTTACCTAAGGAGGAACTGTTTTTCCCAGGAAAAGAAAAACATCCTTCACTATTTAATTTGCAGCTAGCCCTTTTGAAGCAGTGGCCCTTTGTTCAGCAGATGTTTGCTAAACGTATTTCGAAGAATTTTACCTGTAAAATTATAGAATGTTTTGCTTTTAGCTAATTAAATCATGCTAATAATTTTTCTTAATGAAACTTTTATGTTGCAGAGGCTATATAAAAGTTTAGTATTTTTCAGAACTTACCGTACGTCACAAGAAACTAGGCCTCTTTCACAATTTCTGCACCTTATTGTAAAAAATTGTGTAGTTAGATGTATATGTTTATTACCAATATTTAACCTATTAACAGTCGTTTAATTTCCGGTAAAAACAGTTCAGATTAATATTATTGTTGTTTTCGCTGGTTAAGATTATCAGGACTACTGATCCTTCTAATCTGTTTGGCGAGCATGACGTGTCCTGATTAGACAGTGAGTCTGACTACAAACTATGTCCTATGGTGTGTAGCAAGGATGACAAAATGAGAAGGGTTTAAATTACCCTTTATTTTCCACGATATTACAGGCGTTCCCGCACTTTGGGATACAAAGATCAACCACTTGTGGTCTGAACGTAAAAATATTAGAAATACTGACGAACTAAAATTTAAATAAAAGCTAACTTTGAATACTTTACACAAATGACTAACACTAAGACTGGCCTTTCAAATTATTACGTATGGAGTACGCATCTTATACGTCTTTAGCTTTAGAGAGGAATAAAACCTCTGGCCTTAAAGGCATACAGAAACTGATTGGAGCTCGCGTGACGTATAGTCGCAAGAAGGGTCACTCTCTCCCCATCAAACTCTGCTCTTGGCAAAAAAGCCACAACTTAATACTTACTAAATACTAAATACTTAAATACTTACAATTTGTATAAACAAGTTAACGCGTTTATTCTGGCCGGAAGTGTAAAATAAAAAAGGATAGTAAAGTTTTAAACTAAAATAAACGTTAGTAAAACTTAAGATCCTTACAAGATAGCTGAAATTTGATTGTTTCTTGCTTCACAAAAGAAAATTTGAAAGATTCTCGTTTTAGCAATGTTCTTAAGTTTATGAAAACTTTTAGCAAATACCCGAGCAGTATACATTACGTATGTTTCAATAGTACACATTTTAAAGTCTAAAGGATTGGAGGCATGTATTTGTAGACACCTTCTTCGAAATTTCTATGTAAGTATTGAAAAATATGAATATACTTTCATTGTTTCAAAATTATAATGAATCTGACAGATGATTGATTCCCTCAATCCGTAAGGTATTTACCACGCACGTTAACATGCAAACGGAACTGCTTCTAAAATCATATCCGTTTCCTTCTCAAATTAGTGTGAAAGCATGGTTTAGTATTTCCTTCTGCAAGATTAGATAAAGAACTTCGGAAACAACAAAATTTCATTGATATAAGATAAAAAAATGTCAAAGTTCACTTATCAGATATTCCTAGTAAAACTTCTATGTACCAAAAAATTATAAATTTTTGAATTCTTTGGCTAAGTAATCGGCTTCTTAATACCTAATCTGACTGAAAAGCTTTGAGATTGATTTTCTTATTTCTTATCAGATGTAACTAAGGGCCTTGTGCATTCTATTTTTCAGATTTGATTCCTTCACTTTGAATTACATTTTTCATAATATTTCATGAAAGATACAAAACAAAGAAATAGAAAATATTAAGACATTTCTTCAACTGTATATGAATGAAATTTTCGTTTTTGAATGTATAGTGTGGAGTTTTGTGGCACTATTAGTGTGAAGAAACTCAAGTACAACTTCCTTTTAAACATTAAGAAAACCAAGAAATCACATATCACTTATCAGATATATATTATACTGATAGCATATATGCAGGGCGTCTTAAATGTTGACAGATCGAAAACAGGCAATGCTGCTAGTGCCACAGCGACACCATGCACCAGGCATTGTCCTAGAACCAAACTTTTGTTTCTTGAGAAAATCCAATCTTTCTTTTCAATGGCACCTAGTGAATAATTTTCAGAATGTTTAAGTAATAATCACTATTCACTCTTCTGCACAGTGTGCAATGTTGATATCTGTAACTACCCTGGATAACTTACCAAAATTCGTTTGATCCACCACTCACGTGTTACCGCCTTGAAGTCTTTAGCTCCGAAATATTGAATTCTATATGAATGACTATATGCCCACTGTAGCATTCCATGGCTTCCCAACAGCAAGTTCAGATATGTCCTCTCAGACTTTTTTTTTAATTCAGTGGCAGGCACTTGCCTATTCAGCATTGGCTGCTCCTTAGGCCAGAAATGGCGACCATTTTATTGTGAAAGCACCTAATAGGTAGCTGCCGTTGCCTCCTATGAAGGGACGGACAGTTACAATCATGCTTTCTCCGGGATTCGAACTCGTAAATCAGTAGGCTTCCTTAATCAATATACCGCCGCAATATACCGTCTTTACAAAACTTGTACAGAATTGCCATACCTAGCACCGTAAAAGAGGAAAAGAATATTTCGATTAGCTGTTGTAAATAATAGGATTCAAATTATTTCAGAATTGTAATTGCTCAAGAAAATTTAAAGGATTTCTGAGTAAGAAGGAGATCTTGGATCCACGCTTTATTTTCAGCAAATAATCAATTTATATCTCGAATTTAAGACTTCTCTTTCTAATTAATTCAAGAGTATGCATAATAAATCAGAAAACATGGATAATCCAAAAATAGCCCTATATATTATAAAAGCTACTATTCGGAGATTTTAAAAGAACTACGTATGCTACTTAAACATGATTTAACTAAATAATATTAATATTTCTCCTGCTTTACGAAAGTGGAGAGTTACCGGGAAATCTTTTTGAAACCGAAATGATATCAAACGAAGTAGGAATTACCACTGATTGATATGGGAAAAGGCTTTCAGCGTTCTCAGATCTTCGAAATGAACTAGCATATCATAGCAAACATCTCTTAAAAACGAAAATAAAAGCTAAAGGTATAATCATGTGATAAATACGATACAAACAGAAATAGCAAGCACACTGAAATTCGCAGGAGTGGGATGGAATAAATGATGGTGCTACTGGAATCACTAGATATGCGTTAAAGGGGACATACAGAAAGCTACGATATATAACACAGAGGACGAAAATTAATTATTAATATTCTGTTGTGATTTGCGTCTATGAGACCATTTGATATTAGCTTACCCACCTAGCCTAGTGTTGAAAGTTAAAATATGTTATGCTCAGCTGATATCAAATTGTTTGAAATAAGATAGCATTCTCGGCTACAAAGACTAGCACATTTTTTCTTATGGTGACGGTCTCAGGAAGATACCAAAGAGTCCTGCAAAAGTGCTTTAAATACGTATGCTAAATTACATTTTAACCATACTTTTCTGTAAATCATTGCATACAACAAAAAATGATGTGCACTTTCGTTTTTTACCTTTTCACCGCGATACGTAGTCGGAGAGGTCCAAGGTTCGGGTCCCGGCACGGGCACTGCATATTTTTCACGTCTCTTGCTTCAAAAAACGCGTAATTATTCTACAACCTTTCTTCCTAAAATCGAAATTCTTCTTCGGATTTCTTTTAACAGAAAACTTTAGGTTTTTCTTAAAAGTGAAGTTTAGTAAAGTGAGTATTCAGAAAATACGAAATACCTACGTAGATTTTGCAAAACCATCTTTTCTTCCTTTCTTTTAAATCATGTTGACCTTTTTTTTTTTTTTTTTTTTTTGGATGATTAGGCGAAAACTGCGCAGAGCTATGACGTTATTATTAAACTCGAACTTAGTCTGTTTACTTCTCAGTTTCAACCAATTTTTAAAGTTTAATAATGTAATGCTTGTCAAGCTTAATAGCTATGTGATCAACTTTTATATTTTACTTACGTGCCTATAGTGTTTTTTATGTTTAGATGGTAACATGATACATAGACGAAAACATGTTCAAATAAACATAAAAACTAGTTAGAAACATTAGATTTCCAGAGAAACATAAAACATGTGAATTACGATTTATTATCTACCCAACTAATAATTCATAATAACAAGTAATTATAAATGTAAAAGCATAACTAGCAGAAAGGATCCATTGACTTTCTTCTCATGTTCTTAAATTTGAAATAAATAAAATTTGACTCCCTTTCGAATGTAATTATAAAAATCATCATTTAAGAATTGATTTCTTTGTTGATCTAAATCAAACTGTACTGGAAACAAAGATTCAGTTAAATAGTTGAAAAACGCAGTGCTTTTACTCCAAGTGTTCAAAACCAAATTCAGATACATTTTTGTTGAGAGGAAAATTGCCATGCAGCAGTTTAAGCAGTATACTCTTCGATAAAAAAAACAATGGTTTTGGTGAAGACCTAATCTCTTCAAAATTTTCTATAATACAACTAGATAATTTTCCGGATAATTTCAGCCGGATGGTTAGCTGCATGAGTATTTTCATGATTTTCGCTATGTATAACATGAACACAAGCTAGTGTCTCTTAAAATGTACTCCACGAAGGTATCTTTTACCCTTAGCAGATGCATTTTATGTGTGTTGTCGTATTTATTTAAACAAACAAACTATCAAAATATTAACCAGGACTTTTCGTCCGCTCCTCACACAGAGATAAAGAGGAGGAGTCCACCAGAAAGCGTAAAGTAGTTGTAAAAAGTTGAATTGTCTTTCCCTCAGTCGCCCTTCTCCAGCGATTAATTACACTTGTATACTAGAGACACTGAAGATAAACTCTACAATTCTCTCCTTCCTTAGGTCATTTTATAATTTATTGTGACAGGCCTTGCTTTAAACCTTAGGGACGAATAGCAACTTTCAATGAGAATATTTATTTAAAAAAATTATTGAAAGAAAGTAACTGTCAGTAATGTTACATTCATTTAACGAAAGCATCTTTTTCTTTTTTGGATAATATGGCGGAACCTGCGCGGAATTACGACGTCATAAACTCGAAATCAGACTGTTGACTCTTGGTTGCAACTAATTTTATAGTTTAATATAATGTTCTCTAACTTAATAAATATAC